GAGAGCAGTAAAGACACTATATATAGCTCCAAAATGGGGGTTAGCCCAGGCTCAGGAGATCAGACGATGTTGGGAAGAAATCTATGCCCTCAGGCCACGGAGGAGACAACCTGGTGCTAGGCGGGTCTCAAGACACCCGAACCCTCAATGCTGAGCCGGGAGGAAAGGGAGACCAGGAATTATACATACAAAGACACACCGGTAGGACAAGTAAAGCACAGGGAAACTAAGAACAGGACAGAGTAGGAGATCCCTCTAGCTGTAGAGGAATGACAGTATTCTGTTTTCAGAAATCAAGTGGGTGAGATCTTTACAGATAAGGGACATCCTGTGCATGTCTAATTAAGAATCTTTTGGGCTGAATCAGGTTGGAGCAGAAACCCACCCTCCAGGAAGTGGGTGTGAGACCCCTGGAGTAATTGCTTTAAAGAGGAAAGCCTGCTGGGGTCCCCTGACCTGCAGGCAGCAGGACAGAACAACACAGTTCTCAGGAGACCTGTCCTCACCCTGCAGCTGGGGTGCCCCAATCCTCCCCCACTTAGCTGGAGTATGCTGTCCCCACCCTGCAGCAGGGGTGCCCTGACCCCACCCTGCAGCTGGGGTGCCTGATCCTGCCCTTCAGATAAGGTTTTGTCTCGTGGTCCCCTGAACACTGTTGTGTCCCTAATCTACTGACCCCTCCATGAAGAAAATAACACATGAAGAAAGCAAAACTTCTCCCTCCTACCATGATTTTATTTGACAAACAACAATACATTATGTAGTCAGTTCTTACAAAAAAACTGAAGATGTAACACTTGTGTGCAGGTGTGGGTACATGCTTTACATGATTATTAGGTCCTTCAGGCCTGGATTACCACCAAAATATCAACCTGTCAACCAGATGTGGGGTGTATACATGGTGCCTGTCGCTGCTTCTCCCCCACAAGACCCTCCCAGTGCCGGGTGTATGAGCTGCGGTCACACTTCTCATTTGCTCTGGCCCAGGACTACACTGGGCAGAAAGGTTAAAGCTATCCAAGACTGCCAGTCTGCTACTCATTTCAATTGCAATTTCAAAGCCTGCAGATGGCAGTAACGCCACATCCGTCCACATCTGGGCTGGCAGACCCATCCTTCCCTGTGCGTGGGAGCTGGTGTCAGTTTTGAAGGGCACGCACTGTCACAGCAAAAAAATAAATAATCATGTTCTAGGATCAGACAACACCACTGCATTTCCAGAGAAGCAGGAGGAGGGGGAGACGAAACGAACACCACCTAGAGAGGCTTGGCAAGCCCATGGGTTCAGTCTTTCCCAGCAGCAAGACGAGCAGCAGAAAGACCCCGGCTGACTGACCAATGTTCTTGACCAGGAAATGTGCCGCGAGACAGAGAGAGCCCCACTGGATCGGGACACGGGTCCCACGCAGTAATCCTCCAGGGCAGAGGTGGCCATGCCCGGATTGTGTTTTTTTTTGGGGGGGGGGGGGTTTGCTTTCTGTTTTGTCTTCACTCCAGCATGACAAGTAAATCGCAACAGCAGCAAGAGGAGACTCGTGTGGTTCCCCAATCTCACCCACCCCCCCAAACCCCTCAGGGGTAGGAAGCTGGCACACACTCTGCTCCGGCTGTTCTAAAGGCCACCACCAGTTAAAACCAAAAAGCACTGGAGCAATCGGATATAGACAAACACCAGGGTAAGAAGGTGGAAGAGCAAGCCTGCCAGGAAATCCTAAACGTCAGCCGGTGTCCAAATGTCCACCTCAGGGCTGGAAAAGGACCCACGTGCCAGACCTCTCATTCTCATTGCACAATTCTTTGTAGAAAACCTTCTGGCTTTTGCAGAATCTCCGCATTCTGTCAGGCCACCATCGTAGAACAAATCCAAGCAAGCGAGCGAGCTGCATCAATGAAAATCGGAGCCTGAGAAAAGCCACAGATGGCAAGGAGCAAGCCAGTCTGACCAGGGAGAAAGATCTCACAACAAAAGGAGCCTGTTGGTAAAAACTCGGCATGTGACCCTCTCTCGCTGACCGACTGTACGGCTCTAGCTTAGGAGAAATTATTTTTTGCTGCAAAATTAACTAACCCAAGCCATACCACAGAAGCACGGCGCAGAGAATGAGAGATCTGGCTCTGTGTGCTCATCAGTGAAGGAATCTGTGGCCAGGCTGCAAACAGAGAGCTTTTAAATGGAAACCATCGTGACTCAATGGCTCAATAAAATAATGACCTCAACAAACAATACAGACCAGCGCTCCGGGGGAAGATTGTCTGGAAAGGTTCCCCCGGGAAGCTGCTGTTTATGCTCAGCTACTCATGCTGTCAATTGGCCTGTCCACCTGCACTCTGAAGAATGGACAGCGGCTTAACCCACCAATAAGCCCACAGCACTGTGCTTCTTAACTGCAGCCCTGGAGGACAGAGGACCTCTGTCTTGTCTGAGTTTCATTCCGGTTGATGTTTAGTCCCTAAGCTGCAGAGACTAGTCCCTGTCATCGGACACTCAGACTTTTTTAACCTGCTCCTGCACCTGAATCTTGGTTTCAAACATCCCGTCTCCCCTCTCCCCACGTACCTATCCTACCAAGAAAGCTCCTCCCAGGGCTGCTATCTCACAGTGTCCACACACCACGAAGATATCTTTTTTTGCCCTTTTCTCTTGTGTTTTTCGGCCACCTAAAAAAAAATAACCTTATTGTAGTGGAACTTGTATTATGCCATCCCTATCCCACCACTCACAACCTACTCCATGTCTTGACCCTGATGCCCCCATTATGTACCCACTATCATCTGCAATTTCTGTCCAGTCCCCTTCTAGAGTCATCTTCGCACACCTCTGCTCGCTCTTGCCAGAAAAACGTCAAGGCAGTGCCAATCTGTCCTCCCATGATGCCCCACTCCAATGCTGTGTCCAGCTTGGCCAGCTGTGCCACCTCCCGCCTGGAATATCCTGGAATATAACAGCAGGTCAGGGTCCCCTCGGCATCCCGCCAGCCTCCTCCGCGTGCTTCCGAAGATGCAGCCCCGCCCCCTCCTTGTACCAGCTCAGGTCAGTGTGGTTTGGGGGTGTGTCCATCCACATAGAAGTTGCGGGTGACCCTGGGCAGTGTCAGCTCCATGCCGTCCATCTCAGGGGTGAGGACGATCTGGCAGCCCAGGCGGGAGTTTTCCTGCAGGAGGGGAGCCATGTCCAGCATGTCCTCTTCCCTGGAGAGAGGGAGACAGGAGTGAGCCGAGGTTCCTGGCCTCGGAGCCCGTGCTCCAGGATAGATCCAGATTCAGCTCCACAACACTATGCCACTCAGCTTGTGCCCGGGACTGATGGCAGTTACTACTGGTTCAGCCACAGTTCTTTTTATCATTTTGAATTCCAATGACCCCAGGGAGAGCAGTTCTACATCGATCCCAGCAAGGGTGAAGTGGACCACATCTGAATTTTCTGTACTGACTTAGGCTCCAGGTCAGGGATTTCAAGGGTTAAAAAAACCCTGCAGGACTCTGGATGCTGAGACGACCGGAGCCTGGAATCAGTGAGACTGTTCCGGTCAGGACTGAAAATGGCGCCCTGGATTCAGAGATGTGATCTGAACTGTGAGGAAACCAAATTGTAGCAAGTGGTATACGAGCCCCTCAAAGGCAAGGCTAAATGCTAAGCAGGTTAGGAGGTAAAGTTTTCAAAAGAGTAAGTTCAATTACAAGGGCCTGGGTGGGTTCAGACACTAAAATAGTGCAAGCTGTGTTTAAAAGAGCCGATTGGCTCCTTCTCTCCCAACAGCCCAGGGCTAAGTGCTACAAAGTGAAAAAGGAAACTTCTCAAGCTCTGTAAAAAGCGACTGGCTGCCAAGCTCATTGAAGCATCTCCTGCTCTACCAGGGTCCGGGAGCTTGACGTGACCTCCACGCACGCCTGCTCACCTCTCGTCCGGCTCGGGTAGCTTGTCGCAGTAGTCTTCGCTCACGTACACGTGACACGTGGAACACGCAAGCGAGGCTTCGCACGCCCCTGGAAATGACACGGACAGCTCCGTCAGTACCCAGACAGCAGCCTTTCAACCACCCGCTGGAAGGAGAGCTTCTCCCAGTTTCACAGGAACACACACGCGGATCGGGGGGGAATGTTTCTGGAAGTTAGCACAGTCACCTACACCATCCCTGATCCAGGGGCTCCCAGTCCTGGTCCAGCCCACTTTCATGAGATAACTGGAGCCTAACTTCTTCCAAGAAGCTGCTTCAATTAAATATCTGCATGTTATTCACTCACAAAGTACAACAGATAAAGCTCCAACATGTTTAAGAGCCAGAAACCAACAGTTCACCTTTACAGCGGATTATTAAATCAATGAATGGTTTGTTGGTGTAACTTAGGGCAGGCTAGAACAAACACCAGCAGGACTGGGAGCCCCTGGGCTAGAGGATGCAATCAAATCACAAGTCAACCCTTACAAGCTCATAACAAGTCCCGATTATCTTTGGTTTCACTGGAACAGAAGTAAAAACAGGTCCTCTTCTGCCAAACCAGCAACAACAAATTCACATATGTTGTGTTTCATTCACTGGCATGTTGGCTGCCTTTGTCACTTGGGTTCACTTATGAAAAACTCATTAACATTCGGACTGACTCAATATTCTCCTGCCAGGCCGGAAGCCCAGATTTATAGTTCTTAGACTTTTTCTACTGGCGGGACTTTCAGGCCCCAGCAGACCATGAATGGATAATTATTAAGGAAGAAGCTGTACCTTCCAAGTCGATGCCATGCCTGTGAGCCAGGTAAAGCACATTGTCTCCCACTCTGGCCTGGACAGGAATCCTCTTTCCCGATCGATCCACGAACACCACATTGACCCTGCAGGGTGAACAGCCACACCAACCCCATCAGCACAGTCAGAACTCCTTTCTGTTGGCAACTCTTCATCACCAAGTTGACTTATTTGTTTTCCTGATAGTCCTAGATCTTAAAGGGAGCACTATATCCAGACCTCTTGATTTTTGGTTAAGAAATCCATAACTACACAAGAGAGGTCCCAATCGAAAGCAAGCCATTGGGCTCACAGAGTCTGTCTGATTATTAGTAGGATCTCATTGCGCTGTTTCTTGAAATGAGTCAGGGTATCACAACATGGCTGGGCAACTTGTACAGATGACATTGATCACTAAACCCAGTTCAGTATCACAGTTCATTTTTATGGTTGCAGGTCTGTTTCTGCCAATAGTTAAATAAGATGTCCAGACCTTACTTTACTGGTAACAGAATGGAGATGTATGCAATGTGCAATAATTACAAGTACAATATTTGAAATTATTGTAATAAGTCACAGTAAAAGTAATTGTATATTCCGAGGGCAATACTGAATGGTAAACTGTATCCTAGTGAAGACTCAGTGATGGTTAAATACTGCTCAAAGGAAATAAGGTGGAAAATAAGCACAGTAAACAACACAACATAAGTTTATCATAAATTTTAAATATTACCGCTAACTTGTCCTACTACTTAGTGTTAGGGAGCTGCACATATTACAATACGGTCGTCTATAGTCCTAGTCTTTGAGACCCCATTCCAATGTCTTATAGGTCGTTCTCTGGTATCTCCAGTTTCTAACATCTAACATCTGAACTAAGGTGGGAATGTGAAAGAAAACACTGCAGGATTGGTGCACATTAATTATATGAAGCAATTCCCTGACAGGGCTAAACACGAGGAACCAGGCACAGGTACAAAAAGGCCAGACGAGGACATTGAACTCAAACTGCCAATAATTCAGAGCACTTACACATCTCTCAAGTCTTCTGGTTCTCTGCCTTCAGTGCCCTCTTGGCTCTGATGGAGACCTAAAAGGAACATCAGAGAGGCAGTCATTCAGACAGCATGACCCCAGGGTGTCACTGGGCAAAAATGAATTCAGGGGCAGCCACTACAACTCTCATTTTATAGCACTTTGATCCATTTCAGCTACTACATGAAGTGTCAAAACATCTTATATACGACAATGTTTTAAAATTCGAGGAATGCACCTTGTCTTCAAAGCACTACAATTCGTCACAAAATAAATGACAGCAAGATCCGAGACAAATTAGACGTGAGAGTCACTTTCTTTAAGCGATTTTGGCTCTTAAGTTGAAAATGTATTTTTAAAATGTGCACCGTTCTCAACTTTGTCTACTACTACTTCAGTGTATCTATCCATAACATCTGCCCGAATTGTATGCAACTGTATGAGGATAGCAGTCGAGACAAGACTCACCGTATGTCCAATGTAGCTTCCTCTTCACGGACCGAAAGAAATGGACACCTGGGTTTGTATGGGTACATCCACCCAGCCTGACGAAACCAGAAACATTACCGCTGGGAAGAACTCCACAGAATCTCAAAGTCAGCCACGCACTCCTCCTCACCATCCTGGAAGCCGCCATGACAGTTGTCGTCATGTGACCCCAGAGAGCCAATGACAAGTTAGCCTGCTCGAAGCGCGTTGCTAGTGGTCTTGGGGACTGTTTCTCCAAGCGGGTTTAATAATTCAATATTATCTCAAATTACGTTTAAGTGTGTAGGATATGTTGCTTTTGTTACTCAACCGGATACAATTACGAAAATCTAGACTTTTGTCAACATATTTACTAAAGAGCTCAGTTTTTTTTTTATTTACAGAGCAAAGCGATAGAGCGTATGTGGAGGGAATTAAACTAATTTACTGTTCTGTGTAACATTATTCCTAACCGTAATGCCTGCAATATGAGCAGCAACTTGTGAGCATGACGAAAACACAAATTCTGCTATTTTAGGAAAATAAAAAAAACGGTAATTTACGCAGTAAGGCTCCTGTAACAATTTTTCCACCAGTAGCTTTCATGGCAGCGTTCTAACTAGGGCTGTATTTATTAATGCATTAAACGCTGACTTATTCGTTTGGGGACAATTTATAATTGCAAGTTTAATAATCCAAGTACGTTATACTGTATACAAATTATAAACTAGCATGTAACTTGTCAAATACTTTTCACAGTTTGGAACTGGATTAGTATGCTACAGAAGACTCCGTTACGGTTACGCGAGGTTACGGTGGTATGGACATACTGTATCATGAGGAGGGACGTTGAGGAAGTAACAAAGAGGGTAATGGAATTGGAGGTGGAAGGTAACAGAGGAAGAGGCAGGCCTAGAAAGAGATGGATAGATTGTGTGAGAAAAGATATGGAGGTATGTGAAGTGAGTGAGGAAGATGTGCTCGACAGAGACAAATGGAGAAGAGCAACCAAAGCAGCTGACCCCAGGACAGTCTGGGACTAAGGCTGTGAAAAAGAAGAAGAAGAAGAAGAAGAAAAGACTCCGTTACACGTGGCACCACCAGGGGGAGCTATGGTCTGAAAGCCGGTCGTGTTCTAAATAGCAAGCTTTTAAAACAGTACACTGCGACCGTATTAAAGCAGGGCCTGGCCCAACGCTCTGATTGCAGGTAGCCGGAGCTCAGCTGACCCAAGTTCTAGGTTAATACACGGGGATCGTGACTTCACGAGTGAAACGATTCCAAGTGTTGTTGGCGTCCGTATAACGATTGAAATAAATCCATATGTCTTATAAAATTATACACCGAAATTCAGTGAGATGTTGAGTATCTTATAACATACTCAGTTCGTTTCCTCTGTATTTCACAAGACGCAGGCGATCGGAAATTATAAAGTCAGGTTACAGTATCTGTGTCACAGTAGCTGAAACCTGCTTTCACACCTACAAACAGCTGCCTCCTCTCGAGAATTTACAAGAAACCCTCTTCGACTTTCAATCGCGTGCCTTACCTTCCCAGCACTTCGGCTTTTCATTGTATTATTATTTTGTAATAATCCAAATATGGTTAAGCATATTAGCATGTATTAAATAGCACCATGGAGGAATGTGTCTTACTTCCTTTAAAGTCCCAGATGGGAAATTTGCTTTGCAGGTAGTAAAGACGTAACACAATGCACAATACATTTAACACAACATGATCCCACCATCAAATAAAAAACATGCATGTATGATGAAAAAACACATGAATAAAGTAAAATAAACTGTACAATGCATAGTAAAATATGCCATCAGTTGTCCAAAATAAGCAGGTAAGCTGTGGGAATAAAGGATAACTTATATCTATTACTCATAGAAGATTAGACATACCATGTTATTATTGCTAATAACGCGAGATGAGCTTTATTGCTTATTCATGCTTATATTTACGAATTGAAGAAGGTTTTAATTGAATTCAATTGTGCTTATTTTAGAAGCAGAAAATAAACACATCTGTGCATTTACATAGAAAACAAAACTTTAAAAAGATCATTCCGATATTAAATGCGATAAAGAATTACAATTGTAGAAAAATCTGATTCACTGTATGCAAATTCTTCTTTAAAAACAGCTGCTGTGGTGAGCTTGCACCACAGTAGGCGCTGGAGCTCCGACTTCAGAGCAGTAATTGCGAGCCGCCAATTGTCAACCTGGAACCATTCTGAGACGCCTTCGGGAGCTCCAATGATGCTTGCAAACAATTGTTTATTCTTGGCCTTTGCATCTTCAGACACTGAGTCATAAACCATTTTCTCTGGCCCTGATTAGAGTCGGCTTGCGAAGAAACTTTCCCACATTCTGGAGCTCTGTCACTAAATATGAGTTTATTTTGTGGTAATGTACAGCTCGGAGCTATTGGCACTTTTGGAAACTAATCAGAAGCGCCGATTGAATTACGGCAGCGCCTGACTTTCCTAATTCAAACCGTGGGATTGATCGTGCTGGAACGGGTAAACTAGAAAATGCAGAGACAGCGTCTGTGTAGGATTTTACTTCGATAAGTGCGCGCGGGTGCAAAATAACTGCCGTGCAGACTTGCATTTAAAATGCCACTGCAGCCCGTCAGGTTCAGGCTTTCGGCCACACTTGTTCGGTCTCGATTACTCCAGTAAGCCACCCATCTACAGCTGGGGCGACAGGCGGCTCAAAGAATCAGAGAAACCGTTAGTCCTGGGATCTGCGCATGCGCCCAGCTGGAATCCCTCACAAGGGTCATGGACTGTGGGGTCAGGGGGCACCGACAGTTGCCTCCGTCTGTCTCATCTGCGTGGGAGTCCGACTGTGCCCCCTCATCCACTCACGCACCTGTGTCTGTTTGGTTCATTTCTTGGGCTGTTGCATTTTGTTTCCTTTACATTGAATGCGTTTTCAAAATCAGTGCAAAACGAGAACAGAATTGTACACTACAGCTACATATCAGACCCTCCCAGCTCACACCTGTAGGAACTCTGGCCAAGGCTTGGACACAGGCACTGTTAGCATTGGACTGCATGAGCCCCCTCACCCTTCATCCGTTCACCTTGATAAACCCTAGGGTTTAAAGTTCACGCTGCAAAGAAGATGAATGAAACCCCGGAACGTTCTTCATCTGTAACACTCAGGTCCCTATTCCACACACTCCCGCGGCTGCTAAGGGTTAGTGTGAAAAGCTCCCAGACAGAAATACGAAAGTAGAAGAAGCCCATGACAATGATGTCACACCTGGACAGACCGTGAGTTGGGCAGGAGGGCAACCTCCCCTCCCAGGGGGCACAGGGAGTCAGCTGATGGGGCAACGGAGCTCCCTCTCCCCCAGGGGGAGTAATGATTCCTGCTGGCTGGTGGAGAAGAGCCTGTCCCCTCCCCTCCCTTGTTCTAAACTTAGACGTTGACATTCCCCTCAGCCGTGTTACCAGCCCCCCCTCACATGCAGCGTGGCTCCGGCTCCAACTGTCGCAGCCCGCTGACGTCAGCAGTCAGCTCCGGTCAACAAGCCCGGAGCTCCGCCGTGTCCTACCGGATGGTTAGCGTCGACGGGACCGGAACCTCTCCCCCATGCCACTCTGGGCTCGACCATGCCCGGCCCGCGCCAGGCCCCGCTGTTAACCTGGCACCCTGGGGCCACCCTGGCCCGGGTAGGTGCTTGCCTCCACCGGGGGAGTCACAGCCCAGGCTGCACCCTGGCTGGAGACCCCGATTGGCCAAAGGGGGGGGCTCACGGCTCCACCTGTGAATCTAGTGTGCCACAGCACCAACGACTACACTCCACCTAGCGCCAGACAGTGCTGCTCCACTGGAAGGGAGTTTGCTTTGATCTGGGCGTGCTCCCCAGCTGTCTCCTTTCACTCCATCAAACAGCCCCGGCAAGCGTGGCACCTCCGGCTCTCCGAGCTCCCACCACGCACGAGCCAGGCGGAACTCCAGAGGCTCCGGAATGGCAGTTGTCCTGGGCCAAGGAGAGCATACTATGTGTTTTCTTCGTTCTCTTGAAAGCTGTTCTAGTCTAGCAAGTCGAAACGGTGAGATGCCTGCTGCTGTAGCTGCCATCAGAGGCGAGACCGCACCGCAGCATTCTGTGGGCATCAGCTACCCAGCTTCAGCACAGCTCTCATCGTGGTGTTGTCCTGGAATCTAGAATCCCCACTATCCTGGCTGTGAGCTCAGGCTCTTGGCTTGTGCCTGTCATCTGTTGTGCACTTGTGCTGGAGATGATGGAAGGACATAAGAAAAGCATGCTGTAAGGCCAGCGAGAGAACATTATCTCAGTGGGTCTGCAGTGCCCAGCGTTTGACCTGCCTACTGTAGTGCATCGCCTTAGACTCTGAAGTCTCCACTGTTTGCATTTCCTATCCAGACCCCAGTCATAACAAAGATTTTTTTTCACAGCAGTCATGGCTTTTGAGTTGCATGAACTCCTACCTCCACCTCCACCCCTTATTGTCTTTTTAAATCGCACAGGATGTGCTCCTTCCAATCAAAACCTGCTCTCCCCTTCATGCAAATACCTAACGCAGAGATTTCAAGGATGTGCTGACGAGCTGTTAAGGCAGCCCTAGAGGAAAATAAAAATACTTCCCCCACCGTCTCCCCTTCTACCCAAACTGTCCAGCTTTCCCAGAATGCTTTTTCATGACATGTGGCCCAAAAAAAAAATTTAGCCTTATGCACGAGCTTTTGTATCGAGCTTCAGTTCCCTGCACAATGAACAATGCCAGGCTGCAACAGATGCTACCAAGTTTGTGCCTGCTCTCTCCTGTGACTGACCTTTCAGGTGACAGGACCCTGTGAGTGCATCAGTTCAGATCTGGATGTTCTCCACAATTTCTCCCGAAGTGCCCTGTATTCACAGGGCCCGCCTCTTGTGGGCACCAGCCGTGCTTCCTTACTTCCCTGAAGAACTACAGGAGATCTCAGCCTGAGGATGTCTGCAGGATGGGCAGAAGAATAAATCAGAGTGGAGGGGAAACACAGGGAGATCCCTGGATACCGTGCTGGGATGTGTAGGGGAGCATCAATCCAGGCTTTGTTCTAGGATGAGGGAGACACAAGGAGGGAGCGAGACAGAGGGAGGGAAGAGAAAACGGGCAGGAAAAAGCTAATCGTTCCACCAGGAGCTCTTAGCCCACTCGACTTCAAGGTCCAAAGACCCTGCGTGTCTTTCTCTAGTTTTCTTTTCGTCGTGCCCCCCTGCTACAATTTAGAGCCGGAAACAAGGGGTTTTGATTTGTCGGGCCTGCAGCTCCACTGGGCTCCTCTCAGAGGTGTCTGAGACTCAGCAGGAACAGGGGGGTTCAGCTCTGGAGCCTTCTTGCTCCCAGTGTGAATTCGGAATTTTGAACATGCAAATACAGCACTCCCCCGCTTTCCAAAAGCAAAAAAGAAAGGAAAAATAGCTGTCTAGCTAAGATAAACATCTTGCACCACGAGAGAGAGAGAGAACTCGTTCAAATTTCAAGTTGCCTTCCCTTTCTGTGTGTTTGGTAGTTTTGAATGATAAAATGCAAATAAAACACCTAACTGGCTAACTACACCAACTCCAGCTGCTTTCCTTAAAAAAGCACACATAAAGCTCTGAAAAGCAGCTTTGGTCCGATTTAGTAGTATGTTGTAATAGGAGGAGGCCAATTCATCAGGTTTAATGTCATCACCCCTGTTGTTTTTATTAAATCGTCTACAGTACTTTTTTTATCATATAAGCGGGTTCACTGAAGCACCTTTCAAGATCTTCTGAAAAGGATATACTTA